TGTGTAAAATCAAAGTACACAGCTGTTAGGGCTTCCCCACGACAGCACAGCAAAAAAATGGCTGATGACAGCCCCATCAAGCTTTGTAGTACAAGTTTAACAGAAATGATAAAGTGTGAGAAGCACTTGTTTAATGTATGTTCTCAACACAAAAGGTCAAAGGTATTCTATTCTCCATAAGATTAACTGTGCAACATTTTTTTGCTACTTTAAAGACAAAAAAAATTTCATACCAATTTGTTATTTCTTTTAAGGTTTCTTTTCTAATCAACCACTTCTCATAATACAAGTCAGTTTTAATTAAGATTCTTCAAGATAATCATAGATCGCGAAGTGTTATAGAAAGATATATATTAATCACTAAAATTCTAGAAAGAGAGGTTTAAAACTAATTACAAGGGGCCTTCCTTATCTGTCCTAGTTGAGACGTAAAAAGTCACAAGCCACTACGGAAAGTTAGTTTCCCACAGACCAAAAGGAGCCCGTTTGGATCATAATAACAAGACTGCTAATTGAATGATGTACTGGGAATCCAATCATAGTTGCACAACACAGCACTAGCTAACCAATAGTATACATGGGGAGGGAGTATGTGTCACCATGTTACAAGAAAAATGTATAAAAGGCATTTTGTTTGAAGTTGAAATTAGAGTGTCATTGACTTTTCTTCTGATCTGAGCTGCAGATTAGGAGGGTAATTGAACCTTTGCATCGAGGCCCGATTCAAGGGAAGTCTTTGGCCTCCTTATATTGCACCGGTCAATATATGAATTAAAAAAAAACCACGTGCCTCAAGCTCTGTTATCTCCTGAAAAATTATTATCTCCATAAGACTTGCTCGTGCAACAGGGTTGTTGGGAATGTATTGGTGTGGATTGAGAATTGGTTAGCAGACAGGAAGCAGAGAACAGAAATAAATGAATCTTTTTCAGAGGATAATTCTTTGACAAATAGGGCACCACAAGGATTAATGTCCTTGGATCCCGGCTATTCAAAGTATACACCAATGATTTGGATGAGGGAATCCAATGTAATATTTCCAAGTTTGTTGACACAAAGCTCGGGGGATTGTGCGTGAGCAGGACATAAAGTGGCTTAGGATGATTCAAATAATTTAAATGAGTGGCAAATGCATGACAGGTGCAGTATCAGTGTGAAGTTATCCACTTTGGTGGAAAATTCAGAATGGCAAAGTATTATTTAAATAGTGGTAAATTTGGAAATGTTAATGTGCAAAGGAACCTTATTATGCTTGTATACCTGTCATTCAAAGCAAGCATGTAGGTGCAGCAAGCAGTTAGAAAGGCATTGCAAGAGGGTTTGAGTGAAGGAGCAAGGAGGTCTTACAGCAGCTATGAAGGGTTTTGTGAAGCCACAAATGGAGTCTGTGTGCAAGTTTGGTCTCCTTCAAAAAGAAACATTTTTCTTGCTGCGGGCAAACAGCAATCTCTTGTATTGGTGAAGTCCACAGTGAGGGACAAATGTTAGCACTGTTTGTGAATCAGGAGGAAGCTCCAGCTGCTTTGTCCTTGTTTTCAGTCAGATTTGGAGAAGATGTCACTTGATGACAACTCCAAAAAGATTTGTCCGCAGTGGGAAGTGGGCAATGTTCCCTAACTCCTGCTTTATTCCTCTTTCATACAGCAACGTAGACTCAGATGGGATTGTTTGGACACTCCCACTGCAGAGCTCACAAAAGAAAAGGATGTTGTGGATGTAGTAATCCAAGAGGAGTAATGTGAAATATTAGTCAAAATAAATAATAATGAGAGAGGAAGTGTCAGAGGAGCTGGAATCATTGAAAGTGGATAGGTCACCACGGTCAGATGAATTGTTCCCTTGGATGTTGAAAGAGGTCAGGGAAGAAATAACAGACACTGTGAGGATTATTTTCCTATCTTCACTAGACTAGAGGCCTGTGACCAGCAGTGTGACACAAGGATCGGTGCTGGGTCCACTGCTTTTTGTCATTAATATAAATGATTTGGATGTGAACATAGGAGGTATGGTTAGTAAGTTTGCAGATGACACCAAAATTGGTCATTTAATAGACAATGAAGAAAGTTTACCTCACAGTCCAAATGGGATTTGATCAGATGGGTAAGTGAGCCGAAAAGTGGCAGACGGAGGTTAATTTAGACAAATGTTGAGGTGCTGCATTTTGGAAAGGCAGATCAGGGCATGACCCATACAATTAATGTTAAGGACCTAAGGAGTATTGCTGAACAAAGAGACCTTGCAGGTTCGTAGTTCCTTGAAAGTAGAGTCACAGGTAGTCAGGATTGTGAAGAAGGTGTCTGATATGCTTGCTTTTATTGAACAGGGCATTGAGTATAGGAGTTGCAAGGTCATAATGCAGCTATACAGGACATTGGTTAGGCCGGTTTTGGAATACTGCCTTCAGTTCCGGTCTCCCCGCTATTAGAAGGATATTGTGAAACTTGGATGGGTTCAGAATGGGTTACAGGATGTTGCCAGGTTTGGAGGGTCACCTTAAACCTATGTCATCTAGATTTGGACTCTGCTACCCTGGGGAAAAGGCCTTAGCTATTCACCTAATATATATGTCCTTCATGATTTGATAAATCTCTATAAGGCCACCCCTCAGCTCCCAATGCTCCAGGGAAAATAGACCTCAGCCTCTCCCTATAACTCAAAGAGAGGGAAAAGATTTAAAAGGGACCTAAGGGGCAATGTTTTCGCACAGAGGGTGGAGCATAGATGGAATGAATTGCCAGAGGAAGTGGTGGAATCTGGTACAATAACAGCATTTAAAAGGCATCAGAATGGGCATTTGAATAGGAAGGGTTTCGAGGGACATATGCCAAATGCTGGCAAATGGGACTAGTTTACTTTAGGATATCTGGTCAGCATGGACAAGTTGGACCAAAGGGTCAGTTTCCATGCTATACAGTTCTATGATTCTATGGCATAGGTGAGGTGCCAGATGGCTGAAGAAATCGAAATGTGGCTTCATTATTTAAAAAAAACAGTACATGGGAAATGCCAAACAACTATAGGCCAGTCAGCCCAACTTTGCTGAGGGGTAAGTCGTAAGAATCAATCCTGAGAAATCAGACAAACTGTCACTTAAAACTGCTTGGACTAATCAGGGATAGTATACATTGCTTTGTTAAGGGAAGATCATGCTTAACATATTTAATTGAATTTAATTGAACTGATCCTCAGGGATCAGTGTTGGGACTGCAATTGTTTACAATTTACATAGATGATTTGGAGTTGGGGACTAAGTGTGGTGTGTCAAAATTTGCAGATAACACTAAGATGAGCGGTAGAGCAAAGTGTGCAGAAGACACCAAAAGCCTACAGAGGGATATAGATAGTCTAAGTGAGTGGGCAAAGGTCTGGTAGATGGAGTACAATGTTGATAAGTGTGAGGTCATCCATTTTGGTAGGAATAACAGCAAATGTACTATGTTTTAAAAGGTAAAAAATTGCAGCACGCTGCTGTGCAGAGGGACTTGGGTGTCCTTGTGCATGAATCACTAAAAGTAGGATTGCAGGTGCAGCAGGTAATTAAAAAGGCAAATGGAATTTTACCTGTCATTGCTAGAGGGATGGAGTTTAAAAACAGGGAGGCTATGCTGCAGCTGTATAGGGTCCTGGCGAGGCCACACCTGGAGTACGGTGTGCAGCTTTAGTCTCCTTACTTGAGAAGAGATATACTAGCACTGGAGGGGGCGCAGAGGAGATTCACTCGGTTGATTCCAGAGTTGAGAAGGTTGGATTATGAGGAGAGACTGAGTAGGCTGGGATTATACTCATTGGAATTCAGAAGAATGAGGGGAGATCTTATAGAAACATATAAGATTATGAAGGGAATAGATAAGTTGGAGGCAGGGAGGTTGTTTCCACTAGCAGGTGAAACTAGCATAGCCTCAAAATAAAGGGAAGCAGATGTAGTACTGAGGTCAGGAGGAACTTCTTCACCCAAAGGGTTGTGAATCTGTGGAATTCCCTGCCAGTGAAGCGGTAGAAGCTACCTCGCTGAATGTGTTTAAGACAAGGCTAGATAAATTTTTGAACAGTAAAGGAATTAAGGGTTATGATGTGCGGGCAGGTCAGTGGAGCTGAGTCTCAAAAAGATCAGCCATGATCTTATTGAATGGCGGGGCAGGCTCGAGGGGCCGGATGGCCTACTCTTGCTCCCAGTTCTTATGTTCTTATGTTGAGGAATTGATAAGGAGAATTGATGTAGGTAGTGAAGTGGATGTTGTCTACATGGCTTTTATTGAGGCATTTGACGAGATCCCACATGGCAGACTGGTCAAAAGTAAAAACCCATGGGTTACAAGGTAACGTGTCAAATTGGATCTTCTGTTTCCAATGCTTCTGGCATCTTTCCAGTTGCAGGCTCCAGTACGAGAGTCTAATATTGAAAGCAGTGAAACTGTTTCAGAGCTAAGCATTTTTGATTATTCAGGAGCAAGTTCGAGCTTTTAGTGCTGTGTTCTATTATCAGGGGGAGATTTCATGGTCTGGAGCTAGAGTAGCTCCTTTACCCTGTATCTGAATCCGTGTCCATCATTGCTCTATTTCACAACTGCCCACTCAGATCTCCTCTCTACCATTGTCGGACTTCCTCTGTCCCTGATAATAGTTGTATTTTAGCTCTGTTTTGTGTTTTACTGTTAATTCTGCTAATTGTGCCTGAATTAGGTCTTCACTACTGCCTCTTCCCTGACTGTGTGCTGCTGATGTACCAATTTTATCTTCCCAAAGAACCATTAATGGTCAAAAATTGTTTTTTTTTACTGCACTGCTTTTAACTTCTATGCTGCAAATTACAAGCTTTGTCCAGTTCACATTTCATAACTTGCATTTGTGATTTTATGGTTTCTGTCTCACTCTCTTTATTCTGTCTGAATCAGTTTCATAGAGATGCTAGAAGGGGAGGTTTTGCAGTCAAGAAACTGAACCAAATGTTACATCAGGATCCGAGAGAGTTGCCAGGTATATCACAACCTGAATATCACTGAATGTTGAACACTGAAGGAGAGAGCACCGTTCAGAGTAGGGAGAAACCATACACTGGTTCTGTGTGTGGACAAGGCTTCAGCCAATCAACTGGCCTGTCAGAACATAAACACATTCATATCAATGACAAGCCGTGGAAATGTGGGCACTGTGGGAAAGAATTCTTTCATCCATCAAAGCTGAAAATTCATTGGCATAGTCACACCCGGGAGAGGTCATTCACCTGTTCTGAGTGTGGGGAGGGATTCACTCAGTCATCTACCCTGCTGATACATCAGAGACTTCACAATGGGGAGAAACCATTCATCTGCTCTCGATGTGGGAAATCATCCAACCTGCTGAGAGACCAAAGAGCTCACACTGGGAAGAGGCCATTCACTTGTACTGAGTGTGGGAAAAGATTTATCAATTCATCAAACCTAGTGACACATTGAGGAGAAGCCCAGTTTGTCTGAAGTGCTGTAAAAGTTCTTGAGAGCTGATGCTGTATCAACGTGTTCACACTGATGCCAGACTGTTCAGGTGCTCTGACTGTGGGGCTATATTTAAATGATATCTTACCTCACTGTACACCATCGTGTTCATACGAGGCAGAAGTCATTCACCTGCTCTGACTGTGGGAAGCGCTTCTCTCAGTCATCCCACCTGTTGATACACCAGCGTGTTCATACTGGGGAGAAGCCATTTTCCTGCTCTGACGAGGGGAAGAGATTAAGTCAGTCATCCCACCTGCTGAGACACCAGTACATTCACGTTGGGAAGAAGCCATTCACCTGTCCCAGTTGTGAGAATGGATTCACAAATGTATCACATCTGCTGAGTCACCAGAGAGTTCATAACTAACTACAGTCATTGGATTTTAGTGTTCATCACACCCAGGAGTGAACCATGTTCATTACCATCTGTTTCTGCTGATGTTAACAACCACCTGCTGGTCCCATGTTAATGTAGATAAACGTCAAATAAAGCAGCTTTGTGTAAAACACAGTGCTTATCATCTTCTTATTGTCTCTAAAACAAGAGATTCCCTTTTGTATTGCTCTCCCTCTCCCCTCCATCCTCACTTTTAACAAGAAGTGTGAGGGACTTTGTTGTCACTAAGATTAAGACAATCTGATCAGCTGCCTCTGCTCAGACTGGGAAAAGTGCTCTGGAGATCTCAGTGATCTGATTTCCCAACAACGTATTCACATGCACAGCAGAAACCATTCCGGCTCTCTCAGTGCAGGACTGGCTTCAGGCAATCATCTGCCCTCACTGTAAACACCAATGAGCTCACATGATGGGGAGGCTGTTCACTTGCTGTGAGTGTGAGAAGATACACTCAGGCATCGCACCTTCTGAGACACCAGCATGTTCATTGGTGACTGCAGCAGTCAGATTTGCTGTTAATCAAATGCTGGAGCCATCCATTTCTGATTTGGCCCTTTTTCTACTGATGTTAATACATTCCAGAACAGTGTTATGTGTGAATATTCTGAATAAAATTCACATGAATAAGCCTTGTGTTAAAACCAGTGAGTTGATTCTTTTTAATATCTCTAATACAAGAGAGTCCCTTTTGAAGGGTCTCCCTCTCCCTTCTGTCCTTCAACAAGTCTGAGGAGTTTAGAGAGTTTTGTCACCACAAAGATTAGAGAATCTGATCAGTTGTCTCTGCTGCTCCCCTCCCTTTCACTAGCTTATTGGGTCAAACTGTCTGTCAAGTTCCTCCTTGCTTGACCCCACAGCTTTCTCCAGTCTGTCTAATGACAGAGCTCTTCCTGTCTATGAGACCTACCTTTGTTCCATGAACCCTGTTGTTACTAAACATGCACATTGATATTGTTAACTGTTCACTCTCCTGGTACTGTCCTTCAAACCTTTATATTCCTCGAAACAATCCTTGAAACAAAACAGACTTGACTCCACAGTGTTTGCAAAGACTTGTACATGGTGTCCCCCAAAGTATTATCCTTGGTCCCTCCTATTTCTCATCTAGACACTGCCCCTGGATGACACTGCCCAGAAGCACTGTGTTGGTTTTCAGATGTACACTAACAACTATCAGCTTTAACTCTCCAGCATCCCTCTCCAATCCTCCAGCGTTATTAAATTATCCCAAACCAAATACTGGATGAGAAGAAATGTCCTACAAATAAACATTTGGAAGACCAATCCATTGTATTCAGTTCCCATTGCACATTCCATTCCTAAACTCCCAAGTCCATCCCTCTTTCCTGATAGTGAGGCTGAACCAGACTGTTCATAATGTCAGTGAGAGATTTAACCTCAAGCTGAATTTCTGACCACAAAACCATACTGTCACTGATACCAGATATTTCGATCTCCATAATGTCAGCCATCTCCACCCCAGCACAGATCATTTGCTGCTGAAACCCTTATTTATGTCAATGTTATTTTTACACTTGATGATTCCAATGTACTCCTGACCAGTCTCTCACATTCACCTCAGCACCACCCAGTAATGTGAGATCTCCCAACACTCTGCTGCCCAATTCCTGCTTAACGTTCTCTCTAAGGTGTGTGTGCGCACTTTCTCCAAGTATTGGTGCTCTGATTGTAGTGTTGACTTCCAATTTCCAAAGTCACAACCATGCACCATCGTTGGAGGATAAATGTGTTTTCTTTATCAGTGGAAATTCACTGAATTCACTGAATAGTAAAGGCAAATTCCCCTTTAAGTGGCTGGGGCATTTACTCTGATGTTCATGGTGACATTTGCTGATCTGAGGCTTGAAAGAAATCTTACCCTGATACACTTTGTGTGGTTTGATTTGCCAGTTTAGCATGCAAAAAGGTACTTTACATAGTATTTCAGAACATGTGACAATAATAAATCAAATCTCACTGAGGCTTTAGGACTATGAGAAACACTAGCTACGAAATGTATGAAATTTATAAATTTCGCTGGAGCCAGTTAGGGGTCAAACCTACAGTCTTCATTGTGCCAATGGCCCTGTCCATGTCTGCAGAGTTGTGGTGTAAACATGGACATGAACAGGAAAGGGATCGTTCATAAGGTGAACAACCAGCAAAAACAATCATCATCACTTCCTCACTTCAATGGACCCCACTTTGAGAAGCGGTCAATTTCACTGGCAAAAAATAACATATTTGTCCTCTTGTGAGGTTCCCTCTGTGTGTATTAATGCAGTTAACGGGCCCTGAGAGGATGAAGGCATTCCCTTTATCCCGTGAGGTTAGCAGGTGAAAATATTAGTTTAAAACAATGTGAAAGGATGTTGTCTCTGTCTGTGTTTTCATGTTGAGCAGCTGTGAACTCTCTGCTTTTTGCAAAAGCAAAAGGTAATTGAAATTCTCACTGAGCAATATTGAAACAGAAAAACAACAAGTTACTATGATTGTGTGGTTAGGAAAACAGACATCGGATGGGCGGGAAGCAACCCATTTGGTGGTGCCATAGCTTACTTGGTTAAAGTGTCTGCCTCGTAAGTTGGTTCAAATCACAGCAGTGCATGCACCTTTCTTTAAAAACAGTCATTTAAACTCCTCTCAAATGCTATGTTGTTGATCCAATCATAGATCTGGTGATATGTAACGAGGCAGAATCACTTATACGACACCTCAGGTTTGGCTGGAATTATCTTCCCAAAAACCATGGACCTTGAAAAACTACCAGAGGATTGGAAAACGGCCAACATGACATCCATATTCAAAAAGGGAGAGAGGCAAAAAGCATGTTAGTACAGGCTGATTATCCTAACATCTACAGTTGGAAATGTATTGGAATCAATTAAGGAAGTAATGATAACCCATTTGGAAAATCGTAATCTAATCAAGCAGAGACAGGGGGTTGGAGTTTTAGAGTAGGGGAGTGTTACTGCAACTATACAAGGTGCTGGTGAGATTACATCTGGAGTACAGTGAGCAATTTGGTCCCCTTATTAAAGGAACAATATCATTTCAGACAGTTCAGAGAAGCACTAGGATGATCTTTGGCATCCGGCAATCTTATGAGTAAAGGCTACCCAGGTTGAGGCTCTACTCACTGGAGTTCAGGAGAATAGGAGGTCTCATTAAAATATACAGCATTCTTAAGGCGAAATACTGATAGGATATTTCCCTTCATGGGAAAGTCGAGGAATGGCATTGTTGCAGAACAACGGGGCCAATTTAAGACTGAGGTAAGGAGGGATTTCCTCGCTGAGAGGGTTGTGAGTCTTTGCAACTCCTTACCACAGAGAGTTATGGGGGCACAGGCCTTGTGTATATTTAAGGCTGTGACAGCTAAATTCTTGGTCAGTAAGGGAATCAAAGCTTTTGGGGAAAGACCAGGAAAGTGGACGTGAGGAATGTCAGATCAGCAATGATCCTATTGAACAGCAGAGCAGGCTCTTGGGGACAAATGGCTACTCCTGTCACTATTTATTTCCTCTTATGATGTTGGCGGGTGTTAAAAATTGAAAGGTGTCCATCCGCAGCCTGTGGCACTGTTCCCCCTCACTGTTCACTACATGTCCATGTCTGACACACTTGAAGCAGTTATTGGCTGAATAAGTTCCCTGTTTTTGAACTAAAACCTAGCACTATTCATTGCCCCCACTCCTGTCACCTGGGTTTGGCCCACATCAGGGAATGTTGTTTCTTGTTACTTTGTGAACTGCAAGAATTCATTGATCCTGGAGTTTATTTCCTCTGTTCCACAAACACTAATGCTTCTCCTCTTTCTTTATTCTCACTCCTTCATTCCCAATTAGTTCAGAAAAACAAGGAGAAGCAGGATAAACTGCACAGTGACCAGGGAATGTTGTGGGGATGGCACAGACAGGACAAGATGATCACCCTCTTTCTCTGCTGTGACCATTCATTCATTTTACACACACTTCCTGTTTCTCCCAGAGACTGATTGCAGGAATGCGCTTGTTGCCAGTTATCCCCAGTCAGAATGTTGCAATGGATAACATGTCTGGCAGACAGATCAGGGGAGTGTCGTTTCAATTCCTTCCTGGCTCGGGTGCATTTTGCAAACATTGCGCTCTCACTTCACAAACTGAGCCAACCGCAGCAGAGAAAAAGGCCCTTCGTTCCATCGAGGTCAAAGAGAAGAGCTTGACTATTCTAATCCCATTTTCCAGCACTTGGTCCATAGCCTTATAGAAGCGGGAATCGTAAGTGCATGTCTACTTCTTAATTGTAATAAGGGTTTCTGTCACACTGACAGGCAGCAAGCTCCAGATTCCTACCATCTTCTGATAGTGGGTAAAAGTATTTTTCTTTGTATTGCCTCTAAGCTGTCTGCAATAGAGTTACTAACTGTGAGAAAGAAGGAGCTCCCTTGTCATAGTGTGCAGGATTTGAACCTGCACAGGGAAACGCCAATGGATTTCAAATCTATCACCCTAACCACACTCCCTCAAGTACAAAAGCATGCCACTGGCCTGCTTTCCTTGGGTTTTTTTCCATGTGGAGCTAAGAAAGATTGAATCCAGTTCTGAGGATGGGTCACTCAACCCAAAACCTTAACTCTGATTACTTCCAGAAGATGCTGCCAGAGCTGCTGAAGTTTTCCAGCAATTTCAAATTTTTGTTTGATTTACAGCATCTGCAGTTCTTTTGGGTTTTTATTTAAGCGTGAATTATTGATGAGTTTTTTTGAATCCAATCACTTCATAGATTTCTAAAGGATTAAATGTTGGTCCATGGTGGGTCTGGTGGTTTCATTCCGATATTTGATATAATCAGTCATTTAAAAAATAACCATAAATTGTTGGAGAAACTCGGCAGGTCTTGCCACATCTGTGGAGAGAGTAACAGAGTCAATGGTTCACGCCTTGATCAAAACTCTGCATTCTCTCTCCACAGATGCTGCCAGACCTGCTGAGTTTCTGCAGAAATTTATTTTTGTTTCAGGTTTTCAGCATCCACAGTTCTTTAAGTTAGTCATTTAAACAATATGGAAACACCTTTCTGGTCACACACTGGATAATGATTACTGTTTGGGGAACACTTTCCTGGTCCTATTAAGAACCCAGAACTGTGCAGCAAATAAAGCTGATGGAGTGAACAAAGTCAGAAGTCACATGACACCAAGTTATAGTCCAACAGGTTTATTTGAAATCACAAGCTTTGGGAGTGCTGATCCCTCTTTGGGTGAAGTCAACCAGTTACCTTTGGACTTCATCCACCCCAGTCCAACACTGACACCTTCACATGATGGATTGAAAACAGTGACATCTCCACCCCAGGTGGTCTCAAACCACCAACCTTTCGGTTAACAGCTAAACACTCTGACCAATTGCTCCACACAGCCTGGTGACCCAGATGCTTGCATGATTCCTAAAAGCTTTTGGCATGCTAGCTTTCATCGGTCAGAGCATTGTGTATAGGAATTGGGACATGTCATTGCAGCTGTACATGACATTGCTGAGGCCACATTTGGATTACTGCATGCAGTTCTGGTTGTCCGACTATAGAAAGGGTGTTATTAAACTAGAAAGAGTCTGACCCCACCCATTGCAGCAACATCCATGTTATTGGGAACCAGCTCTCTTCCAAACAGGGCTGTCTCCCTTTGACCCTCCACGGATGAATATCTTCATTAACACCTTTATGACTTGTTGTATCAATTTAATCAAGCCACTTCACCAGTCCTTCAAAAACTTGGAGCTATTTCTTGAATTTCTCAGCACAGGGTATTACATCATGTAAGCCTGAATCAAACTCCACATTCTCCACTGAATCAGGATCTACACTCAAGTATTTAATGCAAGGGTGAGGTTGAGAACTGGTGATTATAAATATGACGCCCACCTCAATGTCATGAGTTCTTACCCTCATCCTTGCTTTAAATATTTCCAAACATAATAACCCTTAAAGCCTGAAGCCTCCTGTAAATTTGAACACACTGAAAGGTCTCCCTTCCGAAACCCCTCTTCCCTCAACACCATCACCCACCTCCACCTCCCCCCAACCCCATCTTCCTTCAAGGCACTCTTAAAAATCAGCATTGCTTTCCTTAATACCTCATGTCAGTCAGTGTCTATTTTTATTCAATAAAACCCTTTGGGACATATTATTATGTTAAAGGCACAATATACATTAAGGCTAACTGCTGTTATTCCTTAATTTCCTCCAAGACCTCTCTGCGCAATGTTCTAAAGGTCAGATTGTCTCTTTGGCTCAGTTTGTCCCCGATCTCTCTTCCATTCAAGAGCTCCTCTGCCCAAATCTTGAGGTGCCATGAATTTTTTGAGCTACTAGTTGACTATGTGCATCCTTCATTTTTGAACTGCAACTTCTGCCAAAGTGTTAGTGAGAAATGGAGGTGAGAGGTGGGGCGGAGCACTGGGATAAAAGAAAAATGCAATACACTGAGCAAGAAGAGCAGGAAGATACTTATAAATTATAGGGCCTTGGGCTCTCCAACCCCTTGTCTCTCTTCTTCCCATTCACATCTAGTTGAGCCACGCACACCACTCTCACTCCAGGTTAACTGTCATTTCTCACTGATGAGTCTCTCAGGCAGTGACAGTGTTTGTCATTCAAACACCCACCTCGAGCCCATGCCCAGGACTAGGCTCTCACTCAGTAGCTGGGCTGGCACTGGTGCACTGTCAGCATCACCCCTTCACTACATCATGTGCCTACCAAATGAGCGAGAGAGGGGGAGAGAGCGAGAGAGATAGTTTATTACATTTGCCAATTTGACAGATAAACCTGATATTTTCCCCTCGCATTTGAATATAGAGCTAACTAATCTAATTTTTAAGAAAGATCATGAAACTTAAAATGTTAAACCTGTTTCTCTCTTAACAGATGCTGCCAGATCTGTTGTATTTCCCCAGCAATTTTTAGTGGGAAAGATTAAAAACTACAGCAACATACTGCACACAAGTGGAGTTGTTTGATGTTTATGCAGCATGTTAACACTTCAGCTCGGCTGGATCTTATTAACATCACAGAAACAGACCATAATGAACATAATTCAGTACAAGATTTGACTAACAGCAAAATCCAATCACAGTGGTTACTTGTGAATTTGGTGGTGTGTCAGGAGGTAGGATGACCGAGTGAAGCCCTTCCCACACTCCGAGCAGGTGAATGGCCTCTCCCCCGAGTGAACTCACTGGTGTGTCAGCAGAGTGGATGACTGAGTGAATCTCCTCCCACACTCGGAGCAGATGAACAGTCTTTCCCCAGTGTGAGTCCTCAGGTGTATAGTAAGTTCAGATGATGTTTTGAACCCGGTCCTGCAGCGAGAGCACCTGAATGGTTTCTCATCAGTGTGAACACGTTGATGGTACATCAGTTCCTGCGAGCTTTTAAAGCACATTCCACACTCTGAACATTTAAAAGGTCTCTCGTCAGTGTGAACGCGTTGGTGTATCATAAGGTTGGATAACTGAGTGCATCCTTTCCCACACATGAGACAAGTGAATGGCTTCTCCCCGGTGTGACTGCGCTGATGCCTTTTGAGGTCAGATGGGTAATTGAATCCCTTCCCACAGTCACCACATTTCCACAATTTCTCTCTGTTGTGGGTACATTTGTGTCTGGACAGGCCAGATGATTGGCTGAAGCTTCGTCCACACAAAGAACATGTGAGTGGTTTCTCTCCACTGTGGATGGTGCTGTCTCCTTCCATGTTCAAAATCCAGTAATTATCGAATTACAAAAAATTGGGTGACTTCATCAGATCCTGATGTGATGTTTAGTTTGAGTTTTTTGACAGCAAGCCACCTGCTTCGAATCTCCTGTGAAATTGATTTGAAATAGAAAACGGAGTGAGAGAAGCAACAAAAAATTTGAGAGCATGCTGTGAAACTGAGCTGAATGAATCTGGCTGTTTGTGGGGTTGGCATTAAAAAGAAAACACAACTGGTTCACTGATGTCCATCAGAGAGGAAATTTTGACACCCGGACTAGACATCTGCAAGAATCTGACCTCAATGGGAAGAAATAACATGCTGGGAAGGGGACACTTGCAGCTAAGAGTAATCCACAGCCTTTTTATATGCATTCAGTGTGAAAGGTTACAGCCTCTGGAAAATTACCTGGAGGGGCTACTTCCTTTCTCTCTTGTTCATGTGTAATCTAATCAAACTAATAAAACTGCAAATCAGCAACAAAGTTTGAGAAGATCATGGGAACATTCCAAACTAAAAGAGACTTAGTTCCCCAGTGTCCATGAAACATTCTGTACCTTGAGGTGTCCACTGGTTGTGGAAGGTTTTCAACTGTGTGCTGGACAGTGCATACTTTCTCTCCACAGACAACCAGGCACAGACACAATGATGGAAGAGAAGCCGGTTTCTGCAGGAAAATAAAATTAAGGCACAATCAGATAAGCCATGATCTTATTGAAAGGCAAAGCAGGCTTGATGGGCCAAATAGCTTACTCACGCTCCTTTAATCAACTGTTGAGGTTGGTTGGCTCGCCGAGCTGGTTTGTTGTTTTGCAGACGCTTCGTTACAATGCTTGGTAACATCCTCAGTGCAGCCTCCGATGAAGTGTCTATTTAAAAGGGCAACAACACACTGCAGCAACATGGAACTATGCCAAGAAGAAGAATGCCTCTTCCAAGTGTTCAAGGCTAATGGATATCCAAAAAAACCTGGGTCAGAAGATGCCTACATGAACAGTATCAGAAAGATTCTACATGCCCCGACACACTCATCACACTACCCTACATCAGGAACACGTCGGAACTCACCACAAGACTCCTACGACCGCTGGGCATCAGAGGGCACACAAGCCCACGTCAACCCTACGACAACTGCTCACCCGAACTAAAGACCCACTCCCCGCCATGGACAGGACCAATGTCATCTCCAAAATCCCCTGCAGAGACTGTGAGAAATACTATATCGGACAACAGGAAGGAAACTAACAACAAGAGTACATGAACACCAACTGGCTACAAAAAGACACGACCAATACTCACTCATCTCAATCCACGTGGACAAGGAGAACCACGACTTCGACTGGGTCAACACAAAGATCTTGGGACAGACTAGGCAGAGACAAGCATGAGAATTCCTGGAAGCATGGCACTCCACGAAACATGCTATTAATATGCAAGTTGAACTCGACCCCATATACATTCCACTACGAAGGAAAACCGGAAGTGAGGCAGTCCATCTCAACGGACGCCAGAGTTTAAAAACCAGGCGGGAAAACACACCAATGCTTCATCGGAGGCTGCACTGAGGATGTTACCAAGCATGGTAATGAAACGTCCGCAAAACAACAAACCAGCTCGGCAAGCCAACCAAACTCAACATCCACAACCCGAGCTACAGATCTACTCCAAAATCCTTCATCAACTGTTTAGCCAGAGTGATCCTCCCCGTGAACACTGTCCATTCGCATCCTACAATTTACTGTTTTAACTGGTGAGATGGTCCTCAAACTTACACATGCCCTCCACACTGTACAGATGAATGTCAGCAGCATCGGGAAGAAGCGTCATCACACTTTAAACAGCTGCTCCTTCAGGTAACTGTATAGAGGCTTTAACCTGTCACAATGTGTATGTACATGCCCCAGGGCCTCTTCTCCAACTCAAACATCGTTTGCATTCCGAGAAGCTGCTGATAAACTTGTTGGGCAGGAACTCTCACAACCCAGGCATTAGGGCCTGATTTGGAAAAAGTTAGCCATGAAACTATGTCCACTTCCTTAGAGTCCACTTAGTACTCACATACCACTCCAGCAACCTCCAAATACAATGCATCATCTTCTGTCATTTCTGCCACCTAGTATCAGACCCAGCTACAAAACGATATTTCCCTCCCACCCCGTCCGCTTTTCATAGGGATTGTTCACTCCGTGACTCCCTCATCAGCTCCATACTCTCCACCAACCCCTCTACCACACCCAGTACCTTTCCCTGCAACTGAAGGAGGTACAACACCTGCCCCTACATCTCCCCTCTCACCTCTGTCCAATGCCCCAAACAATCCTTCCAAATCCAGCAGAGATTCACCTGCACTTCATCTCCTGCATCTGTTGCGCCTGATGTCGCTTCTATATCAGGCAGTCCAAACACAGACTCAGGGACCAGTGCGTGGAGCATCTGTGCTCTGCACGCACCAACAAACTCGTCCTTCCGGTTGCCATCCACATTAACTCCCCCTCCCACTCCCCTGATATGTCCATCCTTGACCTCCTCCACTGTCAGAGTGAGGCCAAGCATAAACTGGAGGAACAACATCTCATATTTCACCTTGGGAGTTTACAGCCCAATGACCTGAATATTGACTTCGCCAGTTACAAAATCTCTCCATCCCCAACCTGTCCATCTTCCTACTTACACATCCACTCACTCCACCCTTCCTACTGACCAACCACAATAAGCCCCTACCTGCATCCACCTATCCCCGTCTCACCTGCCCTCACCCCCCCCCTCTATTTATTTCTAGGTTTCCCTCCCACTCCCCAGTCCTGATGAAGGATTTCTGCCCGAAGCGTTGACTTCCCTGCTCCTCGGATGATGTCTGGCCTGCTGTGCTTTTCCAGCTCCACATTTATTGACTCTAACTTCCAGTACCTGCAGACCTTTCTGATTCCAAGTCATTGCGTCAACAAATCTAACGCATGCGCCGTCTTCACAGTAGATCCACGATGGTGGCGATTCAGCAGGCATTGATCCGGAGAAAATGCCCCGGCAACAGAAACCGTGTAATTGCAAATTGTTAATCAAGGTTTGAGGTACTTAGTAAAGGTTTTAAAAACACACCCCTCCCCCCCGGCCGACCTCAATGCTCCCGTAGCCTCACCACTTCCAGGTCAGAATAGAAACAGCGTCTCTGCCCATTGTCATCACACTTAATGCGCACGCTTCAGAGATTAGGTGGGGCTGCGCCTGCGCACCGCTCGCCCGTGCCCGACTTAGGGCACATTTACCAACGCGGGGCATGGTGGGTAATGATACCGACATTGGTTATTTGCGATTTTTTTTGGGTGTGATGGGAGTGACGCAGATGGCAATCAATACAATTAGGAAGCAAACTATACTGGCCTATATGTACTCAGAACATAGGTACATTTCCACAGATGCTACAGACCTGCTGAGTTTTTTTTTCCCCACGTTCCCAGCATCCAAAATAGTTTGCTTTTCTCCTGGAGTAGTGGTGTGTAAAGCACAGTGCAGGGCAAGGGTTCCTAGAGTGTTTTCAGGAAAGTTGTCACGAGCAATGTGTACCCAATCTCAAAGAGAAAGGTTCTCTAAACCAGGTTCTTGGGCAATGAAGTGAGTCAAGTGTTAGTAGAGGATATTTAGGGTACAGAAATCAGACATTCAATTAGTAAAGGGAATAAGGTTTCTGGGATAAGGCATGCAAGAGATAAGGCATGCATCAGATCGGTCATGATCTCATTGAATGCTGGAGCAGACTTGAAGGGCTGAATGGCCAAATTCTGCTTGTTTATCTCATGGACTATTGAAATTGAAGTAAAAGAGACGTTGTATTTATGACAGATGTCAGGTCAAAATAAAATTTAGAACAAGGTACAATGAAGAAGGTTCAGAGGGAAGGTGAAATACAAATAAGTAAAAAGGGATTGTGACAAGAAACTGGCAGTCAATATGTTAGAAAATCCTAAAAGTCTTATTTAGGCATTCAAATTGTAATGGGAAGGCAAAATATAGAACAAGGCTCATTAGGGACCAAAAAAAAAAATGCAATTTACACATGCAAGCAGAGTCACTGCTGAATTATTAAATAAGTACTTTGAATTTGTCATTCCCAAAGAAGATTTTGCTGAGGTCATGTTAAACATGAGTTAGTTCAGGCACTTAAAGGGTTTAAAATTCATAAGATTTTAAACTAAACATGGATATGGCATCAGGTTTGAATGAGATATATCCAAGGACAATAAGGGAAGTGAGAGTGGAATTTGTCGAGACATTGGTGTAATGATTTAAGCTTCTTCAGATCGAGGGGAGGTGCCAGAAGCTGGAGAACTGCAATCATTCGATCTTGTTCAAAAAAGCTTGTGAAGAGAAGTCCAGCAACAACAGGCCAGTCAGTTTTACTTGATTGATGGGGAAATTTCTGGAAATAATTTAAATACCCTCTATAGGTCAGCGAGCACAGCCTCTACAGAGGCTGGTTTCCCATCACCAAGCCAGCCTTTATTTACACATGAACAGTTCTTGAATATAGACTCATACAGAGTCAAATATCAGAGTATTAGCATCTCTGAAACTCACCTCTATATGAAGTTCTGAGGAAGGGTCACCGGACCTGAAACGTTAACTCTGATTTTGTTTCTTCACAAATGCTGCCATACCTGACACGCTTTTCCCAGCAACCTAATTTTTGTTCTTGATTTACAGCATCCACAGTTCTTTTGGTTTTTACTCACCTTTTATATTTCAGTCAGAGATCCCTCATTGGATCAGATTAACAGCTCCAATCTAGGAACTTATATTCTATGAGGTTGAGAGTGCTGACGTCCTAACACTCTCTACAGGAGCGGCAGCTAAATAAGACTTGTTGTGAGTGCACAGCCAGTAGAATGTTTGAAAACCTCAAGGTTATGGCAAACTGTAATGTGGAAGACTGGCTTGGAGTGCCTGTGGTTAGATAAATTTAGCACTAACAAAAGAATGGATGAATTTTCAGAGTCATTCAGCT